ACTCCCGTTAATTTCGGACCCTGCGCACACTATTTGTCATAGGAAGATTCTTCCTATGACAAATATTGGCGAGTCAACTTCGTTCCGCTTTACCGCTGAAATTCACTGCTTGCGTTAATAATAGCGCTCCTAAACTCCTATGATGCGCACAACACATACAACAATTTTTGTCATAGGAAGAATCTTCCTATGACAAATAGTGTCATATGAGAGCGTATATGCGTATGTCGTATTTGTCATAGATGCTAGCAGAACAAGCTGTGAATGAGACGCCCCCAAGCACAAACTTCCTCCTGACGCATGCACGCCTTCTTTTTCGCGCGACACGTTTGTGAGGTGGTATGCCAAGTCTGTGAATATCGCCGGTATAGGAAGGAAAACGTGGAATCCGGAAGGACGCTGCGTGTTCGGAATCTCGCTCGGAATTCGAATTGCGTTTCAATTTTGCACGGAAACTAGAACCTACTGAAGCTGGCTCAGAATGCGTGTCGTGGTCAGTCTTGCTAGGCATCCGGAGACGTGTTTAATCTCACTCGGAATCCAGATCCGTTCAATCTCACTCAGTGCGTGAGAATGAAGTGCCGTGCGGATCGAACGACGTACAAAAATACAACATCAAACTATAATTTCGGCTCGCGTAATTAGAGTCTTAAGACCTGATGTGTGAGCCAATGCGATTTTCACCTACATCCCGACGGGCGTCTCACAATACGACAAATCATTCCGCTGGCATTTCCTCCTTAAAGGTTTTTGTTGATGACGGCAGCAAGGGCGTGACCTGCCGGGAAAACGGATCAAATTGTTTTTCTTCCGGCCTCTGGAAGTGCACTCCGCTTGTTATATCCCGCCATTCTGTCCTCTAACCCTCATCCCTTCTCTCCAATAGACGTGCATGTGGCATGTTCCTGCTCTTGTTTCCCGCCTTCCTGCCTCCCTCCTGTACTCTCCACCGCTTCCTCCTCCTAGTTGGCAGGCGTGTGATGTGAGTGTTCTTCCCCCCTCCCCGTCTATTTCCTCCTCCACCTTCTTTCCGCTTCTTGCGGCCTTGCCTCGCCGTCAGCAGACGTGCACTGTGTGTCTGTGATCTCTTCCTCCTCTCCTCTTTCTCTCCCCCTTCCTTTTCTATTTCCATCACCATTGCCGTCTCTGTCTCCTCTTTCATCGTCGCTAGCAGACGTCGGATGTGCGTGGTCTTCCTCATCTCCTCTCTCTCTCTCTCTCTCTCTCTCCTCCCTCCTCCCTTCTTCCCCTCACCTGTATCCTCCCTCCCTCCGCGCGCTATGCGTGTTCCCGGTCACAGCTGCACGCAGGCGCGTGCCGGCAACAATGACCGATCGCAGACGCCCTGTCTTTGCCGACACTACTGAGGCTAACGCTCGCACTGCAGTTTACCGTAACCTGGCAACGATCGGCGAAGCTCCTTCTCTCTCTCCCCCCCTTCCTCCCCCCTCTCTCTCCCTCTCCCTCTCTCTCTCTCCCCCTCCCTCCCCCTCTCTCGCGCGCTCTCGCTTTCGCGCGCGCTCTCTCCCCCTCTCTCGCGCGCTCACTTGCTTGCTTGCTTACTCTCACTCTCTCCATCTCTCTATCGCGCCCTTATCTCTCCCGCTCTCTCTCTCCCTCCCCATCTCCCTCTCTCTCTATCTCTCTCTCTCTCTCTCTCTCTCTCTCTCTCTCTCTCTCTCTCGCTCTCTTTTTCTCGCTCTCTCCCTCTCTCTATCGCGCCCCTCTCTCTCTCTCTATCGCGCCTCTCTCT